TGCCCAAAAGTGGAGAAAAAGGCTTTTTGATCAGTAAAATGTTCTAAATGATGTACAAAACCTAAATAAACAACCAAGGCAACAACTTGGGGACCAGGAAAACTAATTGGAGCTAAAAGTAAGGGTCAACTTTCAGCTGTAGGGAAAGAAAATAACCCTAGACCCATCTTATTTCAACTTAAACAAGATAGTAATGAAGGAATATTTATCACTTCATCTATTCATAATCAAAATGTTAATTGTTTAATGGATACTGGTTCCTCAATGAGTGTCTTAAACACTTCTATATATAATAATTTTTCACAAAAAGTAAAAGTACGTTTGAGGCCATATAAGTGCAACTTACGAATGGCAAATGGCAGTTATGTGGTACCATTAGGTGTCCTGTCCATACCAATGAAATTAGGAAACCAGATTATTCAGCGAGAGATGATTATTGCAGATATTGAAATACCAGCTGTTCTTGGCTATGACTTTATGGTGAAAAATAAATGTGTAATTGATATTGCCAAATGTACCTTAACATTAAACAATCAGACCATTGCTTGCGAATTAGAGAGTCAATTACCTAGTTTATTCAGAATTACAATTTGTCAGAAGGTCACCATACCTCCTCGTAGTGAAATGATGGTTAAAGCCAACATTAATGAGGGAGCAACTGGCAAGGCAAACCTAGTTATTGATTCGACAGCTGAGTTATTATAAAATAGGGCATTCTTCTGGCCAAAGCTTTATACAGGGGGGAACAAAATGAGCTACCTTTAAGGGTGATAAACCTGTCAGATAGTCCACAAACATTAACCAAAAACAGTTGGGCAGCCCATGATGAGCTGGTACCAGATCAGACCATTATGAATGATACCACCAATGATGAATCTGAGGGAATACCACAATTTAAGGAGATTTTTGATAGGTGTAAGAATCTTTTGACACCTGAACAAACCGGTACTCTGAGAGATCTTCTTCACAAAAACCAAAATGCTGTCTCCATGTCCAAGTATGATATAGGTCTTACTGATATTGTTCAGCTTAAAATAAATACCAATGGGGCCCCTCCTGTGAAACAAGCACCTAGACGACTACCCATCGCTCAAAGGAAGGAGGTTGAGGTCGAAATTAATAAAATGTTGGATAACGATATTATACGACCAAGTCAGTCACCTTACAGCAGTCCTCTTGTAATAATTAGGAAAGCAGACTCATCTATCAGAGTGTGTTGTGATTTTCGCAGAGTCAATTTAAATAGCGCAAAGGATTCCTATCCCTTGCAAGAAGAATAGACGATTCCCTCGATGCTTTAAGGGATAACTCATGGTTTAGTACTCTAGATTTGGTCAGCGGTTATTACCAAGTCGCCATGGACCCTCAAGATGCTCCGACAACTGCTTTTGTTACATCCCAGGGGCTATTTGAGTTCAAAAGAATGCCTTTTGGCCTGTGTAAAGCAGGGGCAACTTTTGAGAGACTGATGGAATATGTTTTGGCAGGACTCCAATGGGAGATCTGTATCGTTTACCTTGACGATATAATTGTATTTTCAAAATCTTTTGAGGAGCATGTTACCAGACTCCAGACTGTTTTTGATAGATTATATACTGCTGGCCTAAAAATAGCCCCCAAAAAGTGTTATCTTTTCCAGAAACAAGTTACCTTTTTATGACATGTCGTTAGCAGCGAAGATATTTCCCCTGACCCGTCAAAGGTTGATGCTGTAAAGGAATGGCCAACCCCTACCAATATAAAAGAAGTCAGAAGTTTCTTAGGTACCTGTTCCTACTACATGAAATTTATAAGAGATTTTTCTAAAATTGCTAGCCCTTTACATAGATTGACCCAGAAAAACGTTCTTTTTAAATGGACCTCTAAATGTGCTTAAGCATTTTTAATTTTAAAAGATGCTTTGACAACTAGCCCAATATTAATATATCCTACTCTAGATAAGGAATTTATACTGGATACAGATGCCAGCGGTACCGGAGGTGGAGCAGTTCTTTCCCAAATCGGTGATGATGGCAAAGAACATGTAGTTGCCTATTACAGTAAATCGTTTAGTAAACCTGGAAGGAATTATTGTGTGACTAGACGGGAGCTACTGGCTATTATAAATGCAATAAAACATTTTCACTGTTATTTATATGGTGTACATGTCTGTGTTAGAACCGACCATGGAGCATTGACATGGATTACAAATTTTAAGAATCCAGAGGGTCAATTAGCCAGGTGGTTAGAAATTTTGGGCACCTATAATTATACTATAAAATATAGAGCAGGACTTAAACATGGTAATGCTGATGGTTTATCTAGGAGACCATGCAGTACGTCATTGTACCCATTGTGAAAAACAGGAAAACCAAAAACAGGCTGATGAGAAATCCAATAGTCTTGAAATCATGGAAATAAGAGCTATAAGTGCTGATAACCAAGACCAAGTAGAGTCAAACCCTATTGCTACCAATTGGGTACAAGGGAAATCAAGAAATGAGCTGATGGAGTCTCAAATGCAAGACGATATCATAAAAATTGTTAGGCAATGGAAAGTTAATTCTGATGTTAAACCACAATGGCAGGAAATATCTCACCTTAGCAAAATACATAAGGCATATTGGGACCAATGGGACAAGCTAGTTGTTGTGGAGGGAATTTTGTATCGTAAATGGATAAATACCATTACCAATACACAAAGTTTACAGTATATTTTACCCCATACCTTTAGACGTGAAGTGTTAAAACTGCTACATGACGACCCTGTAACTAGACACATGGGTATTAAACGGACTAGTGCTCGTGTGCGTCATAGATTTTATTGGGTGGGCTACCAAACGTTTGTAGATAAATATTGTCAAAGGTACATAGAATGCCAAAAAACGTAAGGAACCATCAAAGGGTACCAGGGCGTCAATGAAAACCTATATTGTGGGAGAGACCATAGACAGAGTTGCAACTGATATATTAGGACCTATACCACAAACTCACAATGGCAATATATATTTGATGGTCATTACAGACTATTTTACTCGTTATGCCGAAGCATATCCAATACCAAATATATATGCTTCTACTGTGGCTAAAAGAATGGTGACCGAATTTATATGCCGTTACGGACTACCCACCCAAATCCATACGGATCAAGGTTCCCAGTTCACCTCAGATTTATTTTTACAGTTGTGTAAACTTTTACATATCGACAAAACCAGAAATAGCCCATTTCACCCCCAAAGTTCTTGTCTAGTTGAAAGATTAAATGGTACAATTGAAGATATGCTGAGCAAAAACCAAAGAGACTGGGATACATATGTTCCTTTATTAATGCTGGCTTATAGATCAGCCCCCATGAAATCTTAGGAGAATCCCAAAATAACATGAGGTTTGGTCGTGAAGTTCACGTGCCCATTGATTTAATTTTTTGGTGTTCACTCCCCTGATAGTAAACTATCGAGACCAGAATATATAGACCAATTGACCAGTCGTATGGACAAAGAGCATACTGTAGTCAGGGATAGATTGGTGCATGCAGCTGCTCGGCAGAAACGCAAATATGATCTCACCAGTAAAAATGATCAATATAAAGTGGGAGACGGAGTCATGTTAAGGGACTCAAAGAATATAAAGGACGAAGTCCTAAATTTCAGTTCAAATGGGAGGGACCCTTTACTGTAATAAAGCAAATTTCAGACATTTTATACCAAATTCAAGAAGGACCAAAGTCTAAGACAAACATTATTCATGTCAACCGACTTAAACCATGTAAAGGTTATTTAAAAAAGTGGTACTAACCTCTGGGAGAACCAGCCCTAAATACCAGGGGTCAGACAAAGGACAAGACTGATGAATAACGGACAGACCATAACGAATATTTATTTTTACTAACGTGTTATTACAGTGTTTAGCATAAACATGATGTTGTGTTTTTATATTTCAAAATGTGATGTCATAAAAAAAAATATGGCATATAGAATCTTGAATTATGTCTTTATGGACCAAAACAAAATATAAAGTCTGGTTGTATATATAATTTTATTTACAAATCTATTGTGTGCAAGTGTTGCCCTCTGCCTGATTAGTATAAGCAGGACGAGACCAATACCTGTCCATGATATTGCTCTAGTAATTGAATGCATATTGCATCTGGAAAATTTCTATAGGGTGCATGTATATATTATCGAGATATATAAACAGATGAATTCGAATGTATCTACACATGAAAGTGTATATATTAATTTCTATCACATGACCAGTGATATTATTTATGAGTACCATACCAATAATTAAAGTATTCGCAAATTATTCATGTTGAATACATGAATTAAAATTTTATTTGCAAAACTAAATTAAGTGAAGTGTATAAAATTCTTCTATTATCTTTGACTGTGTATTGTTATGTAATGTTATACATTACCAGTAGAGGTACATGTAGTTCATGTAGTTACCAATTATAATAAAAGTTGGACCATTGCGATGTTTTATTTTTAGGGAATGCAAGAAGCTGAGTGTTATTATGTATATATATATAACTACCTTTTATAACCTAATCAGACACCCTGTAGCTGCCTTATATATAACTCGTGTTAAATCATTGAATAATACGAAAAATGAATATGTCAGGACCATGTGACCAATGGATCACTACCTACAATAACCTATTATTCTTTACTTATGAGTTTTTCTTCCTCTTACTTTATAGACCATGGATAGACCAGTATGGAATCATCAATGTGAGGACTGTGGGAAAAGATTTTCCTACCACAACAAAGTTACATAAACATAGACGCCACAACCATGGGACTAAGATTCAGTGCCGGTACTGCCCCTGTACTTGTAGTTCTGATGTTAAATACAGACTCCGACAACATGAATCATCTAGACATGAATATCATCAGTTCTACCCAGGGGACACACCAAGACATACAGGCAGTGTCAGATCATCGGTGGAAAGAGTGGGAAATACTTTTCCTTCAAGAAGTCAAACTGTAATTACCCATTCCTCTACAATTACCAGTCAAATGCAGTCTGAGGCAACAATACAACAAATAACAGCACTTCTGGACGAACAAATGCCAGATTTTGCTGAGCTCCTCAATGAGCCAAGAACACCTTCACCAATGAAGAGGTTGAGGAATGAAATGACCACGCCTATACTGTCTCCATCACTTTTAGTACCATCTGACATCCTGTTTAGTAAATATTTAGAACCTGTATCACCAGAACCTTTCAAAGACCCAATGACGTATTCCCCATCAGACAGACAATTTATTTCACAACCAGAAACTCCAATACCATCAGACTGCACACATACCAATCCTCCATCATCACCAGAACCTCCAACACCTACAGACACACACCTTGATTTGACAAAGACCATTACACCAGTATATGCAGTGTCAACAAATGATGAACCTATAGATTTGTCCAAGAGAACATCAATCCCATTATTAACACCATCATCGATACCATTACCATCACCAGAACCACCACCAATACCATCACCACTACCATCACCAGTACCACCACCAGTACCATCACCAGTACCATCACCATTATCGTTACAATCACCTCCCCCACTATCAACTCCATTACCTGAAGCACCTTTAGACCTTACCGTCAATGTAGAGCAAGCCATAGAACCAGCAGAAATTGATTGCACCCGACCAGCCAATAAATGAAATAACTTAAAAGAAATTGAGGTTGACCATACCGATAAAATCTACAACGATTTATCTCTGGATCCAAGGCTGTTTTTCGCTGGGGCACCATCTTCATACCTAAAACACCCACTTGTCAAAACTCTACAAGAACAGATTAATCTCTGCAGAAGAACCCGTGCCTATTGGTTCCAGAGGAGGCTAATACCAATTGGTACCAGCCGTATAATGAAAGAAGAAAGATGTTACCTACCGGACGGGACAGTTCTGGAACTTAGAGACATATCGACTTCCAACACCACCGAGGAATATGTATAAATTAGAATAGATAGGATTTTGTAGGTAGTATTTCCTTATTATTTTTAGTTCGAGGCGAACTCTTCCCGTGGGTGAGGGTAATGTTACAAATAAGGGTCAGGGTTAAGGGTGATAAGTATATTTATGTAAAGCCAAGATTATTCTTTTCTTATTATCCAGATTGCACTTTTTCTGTTTTACTTTGCTCGCGGTCGCGGCCGTTACAGTCTGGATAATTTATTGTGTGACTGAGATTGTATGTACGAACACTGTTATATTTCAGTTATCGTGTCCGAATTATATTATTATTGTATGTATTTATTGTTATATTTATTGGGAATGATAAGATATAGAGTTCGTCTCACTGTTTGTCCAAAGGGGGGTCCCGACATGTTCCCAGCTTTATTTTTTCCCCGGGTTATCATTGTCACGCTTTCTCACCTTTATAGTATATTTATATAAGGGATACATATTGTAACTGGGCATATCCCTTGTTAATGCAAAGCTTCAATCGTCCCCTTTTCCTTTTATTCCCTAGACTTATCCTACGTTTACTGAAGGCAAAAAAAGACGACACACGACCTATAACCCTGTGGGCAATCAACCAATCAATTACCGTAGAATGGCCCACTGATACCATGGGGATGTGGGTTGTGGGCTCTAAGTATAAAAAGGGCATCTTTCGTCTGCTCTGGTGCTAAGATTGCGACCCGATACAAGGGACTTATTGTACCTTAACCCTGTGCTTAAATACATGAGCAATACCACCCGCAATCCATACAAATCACCACCAGATTATTCTGAGTAGGTTTCCCCGTATAATATATAGACTGTCCTGTGTGACCTAGATTATTTTACTACGTCTAGACTGCATTTACAACCGAAATACCAAATACCATGATTGACGCTTGACGTTCCAAGGGGAGTCTCTGTACAGTTTATTGCTCTGGGGTTTTTACTTTATATATTTGAATGAATTATTATCTATTTGAACATATTGAATGAATTGAGAGTTGATTTTGACTCTGTTATCCTTCATTGTGTTTCAAAGAAAACCAGTGCCTTTGTCATGCTACCAATGGTTAAAAACCAGTATTTGAATCTATAATACCATTAGAAAGAAATATAAAACCTGATACATGTACCAAGGTTGACCTATAATACTAATTTTGTCTTATAACAAATTGAGGTAAACAGACCCGAACCGTAACAATATTAGCACTTGAACTTTTTTCATTTATTCTTGAATTGATCATAGAAAAAGCTAACGGTACGTACATAACGTAGTAAAACATGAACAATAGAAATCAGTTCACACGAACCATTCAACTTTATACTACATGCACAGGTATAAAGACATCAGAGGTACAAGTAAACAATATTTCTTTCACTTATATTGCTTACCATCTCACCTTTCATTATACATTACTGAATACACCAAAGAAGAGGTGTGATGCTATATTTATGATATCTGAATCTTTAATTACGTTATTAAGAAATGAAATATTTATTTTCTTTGATGAATATGCCTACTTCAAATAAAAGTAAAAATGTTCTTTGCACTTATGTGTTTGCATTCCTTGCAGCGAGGAAGTGTCTACAAATAAATATAAAATATGATAAACCCTAAGTACGAATATTTTATATGAATAGACGAAAATTTTTGGTTTACATGAATTCGATAGCAAACCAACAACATGTACAACACAAATCGTCACCGATATGCATATGTCTATACAATATTCGAATCTTACAATTTAAAATAGACTTAACAGACTTTATCTTATGGTTGTGACCTGTTGTTATCTGTTTCTCAAATTAAGAAATATTTCTAGAATCCAACTGCACAGAATAAGAAAAGCAAAATGCGTAAATTGTATTGGCTTTAGCAGCTTCATGCAACGATATTGCAACTTGGCTATTAGGAAATTGATGGTTTTCAAATGCCTCTAAGATGTACATTTCATTTATGGAATCAATACAGTTCACTTCAATTATTCCCTATGGGATAGTTCTCAAACCTTTTTTCTCAAATTTGTTTATTTTGGCACCATCTAGAGGAATGAAAAAAAGTGCACAGCAAAATCCAGATAAGTTTAAATGTTTTCTAAAACATAAAATGCATTTGAATTTTATTTATCCCGGGCATGCTATGCCTTAGAACTTTTCCAGATGCACATGTTAGTCTGTGCTCAGAGTAAAACTCGGCCATTTAACCCAGTTGTTTAATTTTCTAAAAGAGAAAAAATATTTGAATTTTATTTATCTAGAGCATGCATGTTTGTCTGTACTCAGAGTAAAATTTGAGGTGAAAATGCAGCCATTTTAGCCAAAGGGTCCAGATGAACCTTAAACAGGTCGGGAACACTACCTTATATGGATATGCATAAATTAGTAAACTGATATCCTTGCAAATACAATTGTTTCTGTTATATAGATACAATGGATAAGCGTTGATTCTTGAAAAAGAAACCATGAGCCCGGAGGGCGAATGGTTTGATTTTCATGAATCAATGCTTATCCATTGTATCTATAAGTTAAACTATTGTGTTAATGTCTGTTCAAAATTAAAGCTTTTTCTTACTTAGAAGGTATTGTAAGTGAGTTTAAATAACCATGTTATCGTGTCCAACGATGCATTAATAAATCTAAGATCACAATTAATTGGTTAAAATATACAAACATAACACAACACGTCTGCCTTTAAAGATTTTTATATTATCAGGCATCTGAATATTATCAGTTTTTACAAAATAAGACATATTCGAACTTATTTCTAATAAGATTGAGAATTGAAATGGGGAATGTGTCAAAGAGACAACAACCCGACCAAAGAACATATATAAAGTATAAATAATAGGTATGTTACCGACTTTTCCAGCAAGAAGCCTAATTCTAGTCACATAACGATTTTCTCGCATAGGAATTTGCGAATAAACATTTGTAAAATTATGTAGCAAAACAGATGAAATCATACTATATTTATAAAACAAAAATGGACAAATAGAATGTAATCGTTTTCGTTTCAAATATGTGAAATAGTCCATAATAGTCCAAAATAAACGGTAAAAATCGATATTATTACAAAAATATCCACAATAACATACAAAACAAGAAAACAAAAGACAAAAACAACAGGAAAACTAAGGAATAGGGACAAAAAAGAGAATTATGGGATTCGAACATAAACCGACAAGTCCCTACCTTTAACTCATTGATCTTAACCATGCTAACCTCGGGGCTACCAACTTATACTATAGGATTGCCTATTATGTATATATAAAGGTACAAGTCATGTGTGTCCGTTGTACCGATGTATATCATATGTTCATTTCTATATATAAAATAGACATTTAAATTGTCACCGATTGGTAGCCGAGATGTTTTGTCGATATGTTGATGTCAGTCACACATAACAGATTTCAAGGACGGGTTCGATTCCCAGTGAAGGCATATAAAAATAACAAAAATGAAATGTAAGTTTTTAAATTAATTCCATTAGTGAACAGAAATCAGTAAATTAGCCAATTTAAACATAATGAAATTAGACACACAATTGAAACAATTGAATATAGTTTGGTGAGTCCATTTCAGCGACAGATTTAGGAAGCGTTGATTCCAGAAAAAGAATCCACGGTAAATGAATAGGCTGACGTCACGACAATGGTTAAATTACGTATGACGCATTTTATCCAATAAATGGGTAACAATGCATGATGGACTACTACGTGTTTAGGATCAACCGAGATCACGTGTTATTTACTGTAATACAACACATTTTTTTCATGCATTACGAGATAAACAATTTCGCTTATTTTTTCAACTTTTTTATCTACAGTTATAGTTCGTGATATAAAATATTCGTTCTATGCTCAGATTAACGAATAGTTGTTTCTATGCGAATAAACGAGTGCTTGAATTACCCGAAATATAGCCATTAATATAATAGATGATTAAACGAATATTTAAGATATTCGTCCACAAGACAGCAACAAAACAATAGTGAAAAACACAATTATCCATAAGATGAACTTTCATTCAGTTAGTTAAAAAATAAGGGATCCTGGAATTTTGAGTGGGTTGGCAAAAAAGGAGAAGACTTAATGTGTGTCAAATATCGGTTGGGGTCACTAAAAATGTCCCAGCTTTTGATGTAATTGATGTAATGATATTGTATCTACTTTTTTGATGAAAAAAAAGTCATTTAAATCGAGGAAGGGTATGCATTTATTACCTTATCTCTAAGAAACAGACACAAATACCTTTCAGAAAGATTGGTTTTCCATTATCATGAAAAGAAATATTAACTATTATAATAAAATTCCATAAAGTATTTTAATCCTAAAGCAAACATGAGTTGCACAATGGTCTTATATGATAACGAATCTAAGAAAGATTCATTAAATCATGATAAGTGGTTTAGGAGGAGTTGCGGATACAATATGAGTACCCCATATGAAAAGATGGCAAAGTTCATGTTAAAGAAATAGAAAGCCCAAAAATACTGTTGACCAAAAACAAAATATGAAGTGCAAAATGGCATTGTATGGTAAGGAATATGAGGTTTAATTCCATTATGATGAGTGGTTAAAGAGATTTGAGTTGTGGATACAAAAGTGAAACATATCGTACCGGAAGAACGAACGGATGGACTCCAATCACTACATGTATATACCCCCGCTTTACCATGAATGCGGGGGTATAAAAATAAATATGTGATACAG